TCCTTATCAGATGTTGAAAAAGAATTAACATAAAAGAAAAGGTAAATATAAGGATGACTAGTAGCACAGTGTCTCCCTGGCTGATTATAATTCTCTTTTTCTATTCATTATTTCAAATCATTCCCAAACTTCTGTAGTGGTAAGTAAGGTTAATTCAGTCTGGAAATAAAAAAGGTAGATACTTGCCAAAGAAATAACCAAATAACCTTGCTAAATTAATGGTTGCATTAATTGCACAAAAATTGCATGATACTGAAAACAGAATTCTGCCTGGCTTATTGATGTAGTGGCTTCTGTGACCAATCCCAGAGAAATGGGAATCTGATGAAGAGTTTTCTAAGGCAGCTGAGGTTTGGAGCAGTAGAGTAGTTTCACCACAGAAATTAAAGACAAATAATCCAATTGGTTAACCTAAATGATGCCTATGGAAAGTCTGTAAAATTAGTAGCTTGTCTCACTGAATGCTTCACTGAGAAAAGTATATAAAACTGAAGGAATGGACTAGACTTTTTAGCCTCCAAGTAGTAGTATCATAATTTTGTGCATGTTTTGATCCCCATTTCATTGTTGCCTGACTGCCAACAACAAATAGTAGCCCCCAGTGACTGAGTTCTGCTCTTTGCTGTAATGACTTGTGTAGTTCAAAGCTTTGCAAGATGTTAGGAGTGTGACTGTGTTCCAGCTTACTCAGGGCTGAGCTAGTTTCATAACTTCTGTGCTGCTACATCTGCTTTGCCACATGCTCCACAGGCTGCTACACACTCCTCTGCTCCCACGTTGTCACGTCCATGCTTTAAACAGTACAGTCAGTGTCCATTTGAGAGCAGAGTGCCTGATGAGTGTCAGTCACTGCTCGTGTCCCCTGAGTCTAAAAGTGTTGGTCAGACAGGTCTGGTGCTGCTCTTGTAGGGAGTTACTGAAGTAAGTGGTGGCTGTTTGAAGATCAGCAGCACTTCTGTGAACTTGCTAAGGACTTTCTGACATATCTTCTAATATTTGCCCTTCCTCTTGTGTTCTCAAGAAACCTCCCTTGGCTTTAGGATGCTCGACCATGCCAGTTTTCTAGCTTGGCAGTTAGGAATCTGCCAGCTCTCCTGTCTCCAGTGCTGTGGTACAACTTGGCAGCTTCTGTTCTAGCCTCAGTGTGTGAAAATTGTGCTTAAAACATCACACGTGTCCTCCCCCTTGGTACTTGGAAAGCTCAGGTCTCAGCCCATGGCTCCTTTACTGCATCTCATTTTATTCTGGCTATTTTTCTTCAGCTATAATGAGTGTTGCTTCCAGAGTTGTGTTGTATAACTCTGCAGCTTGGCTATGGGCACAATCTACTCTGCCCCATTTCTCAGCCTTTGATCTTCTAATTCTCTCTCTGCAAATCTGGAGCTGTCCTTGGCCTGCATTGCCTTTATCCTGTAACTGCAAGTCACCCTTTCTCTCCTCAATCCCATCTCCATGTCACCTCTCCACAGAAGGCCTATACCCCAAATCTTCAAGCACTGAGCTCTAGGATGGAAAAAGACTTGCAGAGTTAGAGCATTGGAATCTTTCACACAAATACTGCAAGTTCTCTCCAGCTTTGATCATCCCATGCTCTCCTCTGCAATGGCTGGAAAATGTGGGCAGGGCTTCTTGCATCCCTTCCCTTAGGAGAATATTCTGTGCCTGGTAGATCTGACTGTTAGGCATTCTTGCCTAAATTAGTCCTTTCTCTAATCTGCTATTATTGCCAGTTATATGTATGACATGATATTCTCCACTGAGAGTCAGTTAAACCCACTCTTTTAAACAGCAGGGGAAAAGCTCTTTATTACATGATGAGGGAGCCAAAAAAGCTGTCCTCTCTCATTATGCTTGACAGAAATGCTTGTGTTCAGGGTTTTTTCCTCCTGAGTGATCTCTAAGCCCAGGAAAATCTGAGCTCAATTTGTGGTTCCTGTGAAGCCCTAATTAGCCATGACATCATGTTGCAACCCAGAATGCTATTAATCACTTGGTGCTGAGCAAAGGGGTTTTGTGCATGTGGCTGTCTGTTTGGGGACCTCATCTCCAGAGGGTTGGAAGTAAACCCCACAAAACAAAGCTTTTAGGGTTTCCTGCAGAATTTGTGATGAAAATCTGTAGAATTTAGACATAAATTTGTTGAGAGCTTTGAAGCAATCTCTTCTGACTTGATTTCTTTCAGGACTCTGCACAAGAGAAAAAGAAAGGTTTCTGTGGCCCTTTGAAGGAGAGGAGTCTTGGGACACTGGTCAGGACAGGAAAGCTGCATCTTTGGTCAGAAAGAGACAAAACCTCAGGGGCAGAGATAGGGAAGGAGCTCTGTCCCCACAGAGCAACATTCTTGTGTCCACTGCATTTCACTTAATGGAAGGTAAATGTAGATAAGTGCTGCATGGAGGGAGGAAACCCCAAGCAAACAAATCACTGCTTGGGAATAAGCAGCAGAGATAATACTCTTATTTTATGGAATCATTAAGGTGGGAAAAACCCTCTAAGATCATCAAGTCCAACCATTAACCCAGCACTGCCAGGCCCATCACTAACCCACGTCCTCAGGTGCCACATCCATGTCTTTTTTGATTATTTCCAAGGATGGTGATCCACCACTGCCCTGGGCAGCCTGTTCCAATACCTGACCACCCTTTCAGTGAAGAAATTTTTCCTCATATCTAATCCTAATATCAATAAGGATTAGTGGACTGAATCTCAAAATCCAAACCCTATTTTGACTGATGTCAGTGATGATTTTGGTTGCTGTCAGTGTTGACTTTGTTTGAAGAGAGATGCACTAGAGTGGCCTGCAAAACAGGTCTGAGCAGGTGTAATATGTGTTTCCAGTGGTGTTGGGGATTTGTTTGGTGTTTAGCAGCCAAAGCCTCATGTTTGTGAGCAGGAAGGACACCTGACTGTAGCTGCCAATGGGAGATGTGAAGCTAATGGTAGGGATATATCTGAAGTGCTGACAGTGATTTCAGAGGTAAAAGGATGTTTCACAGAAACAGTTAATTTTCATCCTGACTCAGGATTGTCTGACTTTTAGAAATGTGATTATAATGGGTTGCTATTATTATAATGGAGTATTATCTGGGGCAGCACAATTATCAGAGTTCAGATGTGCTGATACTGTGGGTACATCTTGGCCAAGTGCTTTCTAGTTACTGCATTGCCTAATTTAGCACTGAAATAATATATTCTTCTCCTGCTTGTGCAATGAAGAACATGACTGCTTAGTAAGCCACATATGGTGGCATTTTGAGTTTGCATCCTGTGGTAAGAAATTCTAAGTTTTTAAGCAAGTATATATCACCTCCCGTGCAGATTGACATCTCCTATTAATGCCAACATTGCACACTAAATGTTGACTAAACCAACTGATAGATTTCTAACTTTATATTTTATCCTTTCACCCATGTTTGTTCAGCTTCTTCCCTCCTGTTATTTTTGTCTGTGAGGAGTTCATTAAGTCAAAAGTTCTTCTTGGTTGACAGTACTAAGCTTTTTACAGCAGTTTTGTTCCTGTCAAAGATTTTACCTGGAGACTTTAAACATTTGAGCTTCAGTTGTGAGCTCTAAATGGCAACGAAGTTGAAGAATAATATTTTATTTCTTATTTTTTAAGTCTAAGTTTTGGGACTTAATCAGCTTGAAAACAAGTTCTTCCTATATTATTTATGTTGGGTAGGAAAGAGCTATTATATCTGAAATAAAAGTACAGGGAAACAGGTTTACAACACATCCTTTCACTCCATATGTGAACAGATGTGCTCAGTGAACTTCAGCAATGCTAACATGATAAATCAGGTAAATGAGTCAAAGTGAAATAAACTTGACAGCCCTCAAGTGAATCCAGTGTTGAGGCACACAAAATGCCAGTGCTTTGGTGTCAAATGGAGGAAATGTTTTAGTTCTCCCAAATCCAGACAGCAGTGTAGGCTATGTGCTCTATTAGAAGAGAGGGATAGGTTTCATTTTATGAAGTCCAGTGGCAAAAAAACCCCATAATTAAATCAAAAAGGCTTTATTGAGAGTGTGGACAGAATCAGAAAACATCAACAAGAGACCTTGAAGCTGAAGACAGCAGGTTGAGCTCTGTCAGGGCAGTTGTGCCCAGAGTGAGGGTTTAGTAAGATGTGGGGATCTCAGTCCTGGCTCTCCAGAGCACATGTCCTCAGCTCTGTGGACACTCCTCTCCTCTGGCTCCAGCAGGCAGGGGTGAGTGCTCTCAGGCTGAGGCTGGCAGGGCAGCACACCAGGTGCACTTAGAGACCCATAGGCTGTGAGTGGTGGGAGAAGGAAAGGGATATTTACCAGTGTGTGTTGTTTCCAGCTCTGTGCAGGCATGTCTGGTCTATCCCAGTGACACCTGTGTTCTACTTCTCTGAGCTGATCTCCCTCCCTGGGAAAGTGTTCTACACTTACAGTCCCCATAGCAACTGATTCTTGGTGTCCTCTCCAACAACTCCCAACAATTCCACCTGTCCCTGAAATCCAGATGTTTTGGGTATACCTCATGGTGTGATGCATGTAAAGTGGGCAAAACTATCTCCCAAACTTTGTGTAGCAAAATACCAGTGTCAGCTCTCCAAAGGTGTCATGCACACAGCATCAGCACAGTTATCATGCAAGGTGCTGGAGATTGCCATGGCCAGAAAGAGAATCAGTAATCCAGGTCACAGCTGGGAGACACATACAGTGTCTGTTGTAACTGCAGGGGTGACAGAAGTGCTGTGGCATAGTGAACAATTGCAGTGGACCATGATACTAAGTCTTTGAAAGTTGGAAACTTAGAGCTCCTAGTTGGAGAGTCTAATTTTGTGTAACTCATCTGGTGTGACTGTTTCTCAGGTACTCACCAACCTAGTTCTGAATAAGGGCAGACCAAATAATTGTCTTTTAAATCCTGAAAACCAGCTTTGTGATCACACTTCTTACATTTGTTTATTTTTTTAATCTTTAAAGCAGCTGTTTGAAGGGTCAGTGCTTTCCTGCAAACCTGCCAGATGGGTTTCCAGAGCTGGTTTGGATTCCCAGTGGGGTTATTGCTATGCTGTGCTCTTCAGACATCTGCTGTCCAGCACCCTGCCACTCACAACTGCACCAGGGATGCTCAAAGAATATCCTTCAGCCACTCCTACAAGATTGACCTGCCCACAGCCTCCCAGATTAAGGTGGAAGCAGATCCATTACAGCATGATGAAGAGAACAGTGGGGTGCAGCTAGATCCTGGGGAGACTGAGGAAAGTGAAGAGCAGAATATAATCTTTAGGCATAACATCCACGTGCACACACCCAGAGGGAACTGTGAGACTTTGACCCACATCAAGGATCTGCTTGAAAGGATGGAGAAGCTTGAGAAGGAAGTGGCAGAGCTGAGAGAAGTTTGCAGCCCTCAGAAGTGCTGTGGGGGAACCCAAGGTAAGTAACAATTTCAGTGTCTGTTCTGACATCCCAAGTGCAGCCTATGTGCTGTGGAGATTTGAGGGCTGGAATCAAAGTGTTAGAATTCAGCCCTGGCAGTGCTCAAAGCCAGGTTGGATGAAGCCTTGAGCAACCTGCTCTGGTGGGAGGTGTGGATGATCTCTAAGGTCCATTCCAACCCTTTAACATACTATAGAGGATTTTCTGGAGGACAGGAGGGTGAAAGATGAGGGAGGTCCTTCTTGTTGATTTTTCGTGCTCAATTTTGCCTCCAGAATTTTGTCATTTTTGAGATTTTTATCTTTTGATTTCCACTTTGGTAAGTGACTAAGAAGAGCAGAGCTGATGATTTGTGGTGGCCACTGACTCTGCCTGTGATCAGTTTCATACCTCATGGCCTCTAAGAAAAGACTTAACAAGCAGACTGGGGAATGGCAGATGAGAATAATGTGCTCTCCATCTTAATAGTAACTGTAGTGAGAAATGGTGAGCTTAATTTACAACAGGAATGTTCAAGTTAGAGGCTGTGAAAAGCTTTCTGAGGGAC